TGCCCGGCAGAAAAGACTCCAATAGAATCTCGTTGGGCCCTTAAAACGAAGTACAACCCTGACGGTTCACTGGAACGTCGTAAAGCACGACTAGTAACAAAGGGATGTTCGCAGCTTCCTGGAATCAATTATAAAGAAACTTTTGCACCAGTGGCAAGATTACAATCCATACGAACTGTAATAGCATTGTTAGTGGAATTAGGCTTAACCTTATATCACCTTGACATAACTATGACATATACACATGGAGACTCGGATGAAGACATATACATGATCCAACTACAAGGTTTTTGTAAAACAAAGATTTGAGGATTACGTCTATAAACTTCAAAAGTTCTTGTATGGATTAAAACAATCAGGGAGACAATGGAATCGTAAACTGAACGAAGTTCTTGGAAAATTAGGATTACGCCCTATAAGCGCCGACGCATGTGTCTACACTATGCAAAAGGATGACACCATATTAATCATCACTGTTTATGTCGACGATTTAATAGTGGCCGTAAATAAATCAGAACTTTTCGTGCAAATAAAAAATTATTTAAATTATGAGTTTCAGACACGAGACCTGGGAATGCTCAAATACTGCCTTGGTATCGAATTCAAACAAGATGTGAATGCAGGACGCATCGAGATGTACCAGCACAAATACATTAGGAACCTTTTGGATAAATTCAACATGAACAGCGCAAAACAAGCATCAACACCAATAGAACCAAAAACCAAATTTAATAAGAATGAAAAGGCGCCACCGCCAAACGTTAAATAGACGTTTAATTGGTTCACTTTTGTATGCAGCAACAGCAACAAGACCAGATATCGCTTATACTGTGAGTATTTTGAGCGGCTTTAACTGGACCGCAGCTAAGCGGGTTTTAAGGTATCTAAAGAAGACAATTAACGATAGTTTAATATTTTAACGACAAGCCAATCCGTTGATTGCATACGTGGACGCCTACTGGGGTGGAGACATAAATGACCGGAAGTCTCGTACAGGCTATGTTTTCAAATTAGCAGGCACAGCTATAGCATGGGAATCCAGAAAACAGAAAATCGTTGCCCTATCTACGACTGAGGCAGAATACATCGCTCTATCTGAAGCGGCAAAAGAAGCTAAATACATTCGAAAATTTCTGCAAGAAACTGGATTATGAAAACAGTACATCATTATCAACCACTATTTATTGCGATAATCAAAGAGCCGAAAAATTAACAAAAAACCCAGTAAATCATTCGAGATCGAATGCATATAGATATACGTTACCACTTCGTTAGACAAACGTATGAAGAAGATGAAATAGACGTGCATACCAACAAATGAGATGGTTGCTGATATGTTAACGAAAGGATTAAGTGCACCAAACCACGAAAAATTTCTAAAAGAACTAAGGATCAAAAGAGTAACAAAACTAAATGTAAATAATAAACAAAATCACGATTCAGGGAGGGTGTTGAAATGTAGAAGCATATTCAAATAAACTGCGATTTCTAACATCTTGACTACCACCTATTATCGATTCAATGTATTACCTTTGATTATCGATTCTGTTATATATCATTTCCTTTTATATCTTTTTACCTCACTTCCTTTTTTCAACTTTCTTACTTTTTTCCCGACTGTGAAATAAACGTATCCGTGATATTATAAAATCTGCTTGCAACATTATATTTATTCACCCATCAAAATACCTTGATCACTAAAAACAACATATTTTATTTAATAATATTTATATTTATTATGTTTATATTTTATATTTTATTATATTTTTATAATTTAATAATTTGATTTCTATATCAAATAATATAAAAAATATATAAGGAATAGGCTCGTATATAAATCAAATTATTACAAATTGAAAGGCATTTCGAGCCATCGCTGGATGTTAGTGCGAGAATTATTAATATTTTTCATACAGAAAATTGATTTTTGTCTACTAGAGACATTATTAAAGTGTACACGATCTCGGATTCGAGATACTAAAGTGTACGAACATTACATACATTTATCTCATTTTCGAGAATCCAAATGTACGAAATAAAGGAAAGAAAAGAAGTTATTAGAAAGATGGGAGAACGAGAGAAAAATATCAGAGCGCTAGTGGCTAAGCCAGGATTTGAACCCGGGTCTTTCACTTTCCGGGCGACTGTTCTGATCACTAAACTACTCAGACCCCACGCTTCTAACATTCACTCTCGCTGGTTTTTAGGAAATAAACAAATCTGTAGGAAAACGACACGACTTGAAGCCCGCGTGATTTTAAAATCATTAATATATAAGGAATTATATAAAAAATATATTTGATAATTTATTAGAAAATATTTCACTATTTACTACTTATATTTCTTATGTATAATATTATTTATAATTAAAACAAATTAATCATACGTTTAGAAAGAAATTTTTTATTTATTTCCCGGTATTTCGATTTGAATATGTAAAGTATACAGGGACTGATTGGACCAATTAGACCAGTGCACAGTGGGCCAAGAGACCAGAAAAACTGGCCAAAAGTCCGTCTAAAGTTAATTTTGTTTAAAATTGTGAAATTATATACCAATATAAGGTTTTTGGGGTCGCTGATTTCGAATTTAATATTACCATTTTGAAATTCAAAATGGCGAATCCAAAATGGCGAACATAATATGCAAAAACAAGTCAATTTGTACTGAAAATCTTTTTTTAACGGTTTTTGGGGTAACTGTTTACGAATTTGATATTATTATTTTGAAATTTAAAATAACAGATTCAAAAATCTTAATTTTTTATAAATTAAAAATATAATATTGGCTCAAATTATTCAAAAAGAATTTTCTTTTTTAGTGCTTTGAACTCTTACACCTATCTAATGACGGAGAGTAGTGACCAGATATTATATTATTTTTGTCACTCACTATTTGGGGTGTTTTTTAGGAGTGAAATTTTACAGATCACATGTAATTTATAAATAATAATTTATGTATAGTATAATTTATCTATAAACTAACCATTATATTTTTAAAAAATATTTTTTATATTAATTCTCCGAAATTAATGTTCTTCATCTGATAATTCTACTTCGTCCAAGCAAACATCAATTTCGGAAAGTACGTTATCGTCGAAGTTGCAGTCGTTTGCTTCTGTTTCTTGTGACGTGCTCTCATGCTCGTCTACACTCGGAA